AATAGATGTTGTGAGATAACATCATCATGGAAAATGTGGTAAGGACAGCCCAAAGAAAATATGTAATATTGCTTGAAAAGAAAAGAAATAAAACAAATAAAAGAAATAAAAACCGCTACGTCCTGGTGGCAATGGAGTATTTCACAAAGTGGCAGGAGGCCTATGCCCTCCCAGACCAGAGTGCCTCCACAGTGGCCAATGCCCTACTGGAGGGGATGTTTGCCAGGCTAGGGGTGCCAGAGGATTTACACTGTGACCAGGGACGTAACTTCGAGTCCCAGGTCTTCGCCAGAGGGTGCCAGCGCCTGGGGTTATCTAAGACGTGGACCACCCCGCTGCATCCCCAGAGCAACGGGTTGGTGGAGTGGTTTAATCGGACACTCGTCACCCAGCTGGCTACCCTGGTTTCCCGGCACTAGCGGGACTGGGACCACCACCTCCCCCTTGCACTCTGGGCATATCGGACCGTGGTCCAGGAATCTACCAGGTGCACCCCGGCCTCACTCATGCTGGGCCGGGAAATGCGAACCCCAGTGGACCTGTTCTTTGGGCCCCCTGACCGAAGACGAGTCGGCACCGCCAGCTGGACTGGCAATGAGTGGGACCTGCGACAGCGGATGCGGTGAGTGCACAGTTTTGCCCGAACCCACCTGACTCAGGCGGGAGTCCGGCAGCAATGGCACTACAACCTGCGCTGCAGGGGGCCTGCCTTCCAGCCTGGGGACTAGGTTTGGGGGTACAGCCTGTACCGCCGTAAAGGCCTCAGCCCTAAGCTGGCACCGTCGTGGGAGTGGCCCACTGAGTTCCTCTTGGTGGTGGGCGATTTCTGCTACCGGGTCCGGTTGCGAACACGGGGGAGAGTGGCGGTCCTGCACCTAGACTGCCTGGCACCCTACCAGGTCCGGGAGGAGGACCCTGGCGGGGAGGGTAACCTTTGTTATGCATGACTGCATACAATAAATGTATAAAGTATTAATATTGTGTGTTTCTTATTTAAAACTGCTAAAGTTACATATTTTTAATACAATGAAAACAGATTTTTAAGTTGTTCTTAATGAATTTAACACAAATAATTAGTCTCAGTAGCCATAAATGTTATATAGGAAAACATGCTGCATATAATTTTAACTAGTTATTGGTATCATATACAATTTGCTGGCACAGTGGGGTTCTGGTTTGCATGGCTGCTTCGCAGTACTTTTGCCTTGAGTTTTATTACGGGCCTGCGTGTTATCTGCATGGAGTTTGTATGTTCTCCCTGTGTTCATGTGAATTTCCTCAAAATTCTCCGGTTTCATCCAAAAGTCCCAAAACATACTGGTAGGTGAATTGATTTCTGGGAAAACTGATTCTAATGTGAGTGCTGGTTTGTGTACGATTGGAATCCTATCAAGGGTGTACCCATTACTTGCTTAGATAGGCTCTGGCTTCCTCTAAGGCCCTTATTGGGATGAAGGGGATATAAAGTGGATGGATGTATATACACAGTTGTGCAGAAATGTTTCTACTCTTTTCACTCATGTCTTTCTTTCATTATGGAGGACACAAATCATCAACTGGAAATTTTGTTTTGCTTTAAGCAAAGATTTTGCAAAACAAAGGGTGGCCTTATAGAGCTATAGATGTAAAGAGAAGAACCAATTATGTTAATGAGGAGGAAGATCTGATCAAGAGTGTTTGATATACAGTATGAGCGAAAAATGTAAGGGATTAATGTAATGGATCTAA